TTATATGGTTCAACCCAGTATTATCATTAGCTGAGAACTGCACTTGCGTATACTTGCGGAATATTATGCTAATATGGTGTAGCTTTCGAGAATTTGTTTGCTCTCTTGTTGGATTATCAATAGTCCCAGAAATATTAGCTCATGCATTGAACTCATGGGAACATTTTTATGATTGTCAGTAATTTTCTTGAGTTCCAAACCTGTGCTAGTTTCATATGATTACAAACAAGTGTCTTAACAATATTTGGTGTTAAAGCTGATAATAGTTCTAGAAAGACAGATGACATCAACTTTTTATAATTCAAGAATGCACAAATTTACAGTAGAATGCTGTGAACTTTGATTCTAAAGCCGTTGTTGTCATGGAAACTAAGTTTTTCATAATTTTGAGTAATTACCTTTATCATCTCTATGAGTATAAGCCTCTTAGAACTCTAAGTATAAGCTCATAATCTTGACTATGATTCAACTTCCTTTCCCTGTGTGCATTCTATTATTGACTATAAACTGAAGTGCAAAATTGAGTGAAAATCCAACCAAGATCTACTATATCTATTGTAGATTTTAAGTTTGGAAGCCCTTCAGGTAATCATAATATATTAGGATTAAATGCATAGGACCCAACATTACTTCACCCTAACCTAAACAATTCAACTTATTCATCAGTTGTCAACATGACTTCAGTTCCACAAAAGTTGCCTTTAATGGAAAAGTGAATTTTTATTATTGATGAAGTGATTGTTTGGTCACATTATATGGCATATACAGAAACAGTTCTAATGAAGGTATTTGTTAAATGATCTAATGGCCTGAATTTATGTTGAAATTGCAGACTCTTAGATCTATGACAGTGCACTTGCCAAGGGCATTCAATTTCCTGTGGGCGGTGACCAAGAGAACTTGTACAAAAATATAAAATAAATTTACAAGAATATTCCAGAAAAAGGACCTCATGGTAGATTCATTCTCATAGTGATTTGACATATTCTCAGTTCCATCTCAAGCTTCTGTTGCAATAATCACAGCTCTGTGATAACTATTTACAACCCACACATTGTCAGGCATACTGTTTATAAGTCTACTTTTGCTTATTTTTCATTTAAATAATTTGTGGCCCTTATCCAAGTGTCCGGGTTATGTCGCACCTCATTATGGACAAGTAAAAGAACAGGCTAAAAAATGATGGTGCTGCCCTAACCGGTTTGGCTTAGTGGATAGAGTGTCGGCCTGCAGACTGAAGGGTCCCAGGTTCGATTCCGGTCAAGGGCATGTACCTTGGTTGTGGGCACATCCCCAGTTAGGGGCGTGCAGGAGGCAACTGATCGATGTTTCTCTCTCATCATCGATGTTTCTAACTCTCTGTCCCTCTCTCTTCCTCTCTGTAAAAAATCAATAAAATATATTTTAAAAAATGATGGTGCTGGTCATGAAAGCTATATTAAGTCAATTGTTGGAGGAATTAGCTTGCCTCTAGTCAATAAAATAATTTACTTAGTGGGGTGGAGTCTAAAGATATGCCTTATTTTTTCTCATCTATATCGCCCATGTTTTTACTTCTCTTGCTTTCCCATTGCCTAATACCTTAAGCAATTGATTATCTTTTTGAATAAATGAATGTAAAATATAAAAATATACTTTGGATGCAATTATAATCTACCTAAATCCCAACCCCTCTTCCTTGATGTTTACTGGAAATGTTAGTTTTCCCTGGGAATCATAAGGCTAGAGATCACTGAGCCTGTGCTTGCAAAGTGTGTGTTCCTATCTTAAGATATTTCCAAAGACATTTTAAATTTTTTAAGTGTATCTGTCCTTCTAATTTTTTGTCTGCTCATAATTATTTAATTAAATACCGTTTTCTTGCCAATGATCAATATATTTAATGATAAAACACTGACGTCATTGAGAAATTTATGTGACAAAAAAAAACCCCAAAGAAGTCTGTTATCATTTTTATTTAACATTGCTTTAGAAATACTAGGCAATGTAATAAGAGATGAAAAGTAATAAAACATAGTTATTGAAAGATGCTGAGATAAAATGTCGTATTTGTTAACTATAAATTTGCTTACTTTGGTAGAAAACAAAACCAATGAAACAAAAGAAATAATAAGAGCAGTGAGTTGAAGTAGTATAGAGCAGCAGTTCTCAAGATGTGGTCCCAGGACCATCTCAGAAGATTGATGAGCTCAAAGCTATTTTCTTCGTAGTACTAAGATTTTTTTTTGCCTTTCCACTCTGATTATCTCATGAGTTTTCCGCAGGCAATGTGTTGTTCTCTCTCAGCATATTGAAAGAAGAAATATATATTAGAATCTGTTTTCTATTAAGCCAGATATTTAAGAAATTTATAAAATTATAGAATAATGCCCCTCTTGTCACTAAATGTTTGTTTTGGAAAACAATTATTTTTCATAAAAGTTGGTTACTTATGTTCATATATAACAGGATTATTGTTCTTTTTTGCATGAATTAATACAAACATTTCAAGAATTATAAATTCAAACAAATGCAGTAAATATCAATAGTTATAACTCACATGTACAAAAGCTCATTGATGTCTTCAATACTTTTTGAGACTGTAAAGTGGTTTTTGAGATTTTAAAAAATTGAGACCTGCTGGTGCAGAGAATGAGCAATATACTGCATTAACCAGTTATAATTTAAAATGGAAATAATAATATACCTAAGAAGAACCTTACAGACCTATGTGAAGTATATAAAAATACTCTAGTTTAGGATATTAAAGAGGACTCAGTAAATGGAGATTCATACCATGTTCTTTGATGGGAAGTGTTATTATTATACTAGTGTTCATTCTCCTTAATTAATTTATAGATTGCACATATATCCAAGCAATGGATTTGGTAAGCCTGTGGAAATGAAGATTTGTATAAAATTTAACTAAAGAATCCCAAAGTTTGTGGAAGAATAATAGGTAGTAACTACAAAAAAACATTTTTAAAAGAAGCATAATCAGGTAGACTGTCTTATCTGATATTAAAGTTACAATATAGAGTCAGATAAGGAAAATCAATTAACTCAAAACTAGTTTCATTATACTGTGAATATACATGGATATGTGTATATTTGTGTGCATTGAATATATGATAAAGTGTTAGTGTTCAACCTCACTCATCATAAAGGATATATAAGTGAAATAATTCTTAGTTTGGTGAAGATAAAATATTAATATTAGAGGTAATAGTATTGCTAAGCATTTATAAATTGTTGGGGAAAGAAATGGTAAATTGTAATAACCTTCTTGGATAGCTATACATCAAGTGCTTCAAAATATTCATAATCTTTAATGTGGCAACTTTATTTCTAGAAATCTCTCTCGAGGAATATTCAGAAATGCAAAAGTATTTATACACAAAAATGTTCACGGCACCATTTTTTATAATAAGACACATTTTAGAATGTCTACATATTGAGAAATGACATTTCCATAACAAATATGGTAATGTCAAGGAAAAACTGCATCTAGAATAATGATTAAAAATAGAAAATACATTTCATATATTTCATAAATCCAATTATGTAAAAAGGGTTACAAAAATACCAGGAGAAGATACCTTAATAAATTAATAGTGGTTATCTCTGGATTCTGGATTCTAGAATTATGAATAGTTTTTATTCATAATATACCTTTATAACTTTCTGTATTTTTCTAATTTTTTGCAGTGAACATATGTCATAGTTAATGTAAACAATTATAATTCAATTAACTTTACACACAGCTACCGTAGTTTTAATTTTTAGATGAAAATAAATTAGATGAATGAGACTTTATTCTGTATTTCAGCTCTGGATTACCTGCTCTATCACATTTGACAGTAACTTCTTGGATAGTGCCTCCAAGTATTAGTACAGTGTAGTGTTTGCCCATTCACCAGTAAACTATATAACCTTAAACAAATCACTTTACCTCTTAGGTCTTTAATTTTTTTGCCTATCAAATGAAGTTTCCTCTAATTTTAAAATCTGTAAGTCAAGTGATGAAGATTTCTAAGACTATGTTTCCAACAGAAATGTCTTATCTGAACAATCTCTCTGTTTTTCTTTCACTACACATTTTCTCTTAACACATTCCCCTTATTTTTATTTTATTTATTTTTATTCATTTCAGAGAAGAGGGGGGAGGGGGAGAGAGAGAGAGAAACATCAATGATGAGAGAGAATCATTGATCGGCTGCCTTGTGCACGTCGCCTACTGGGGATCAAGCTTGATGGGACTGTGACCTTCTGGTTCATAATCAATGCTCAACCACTGAGCTATGTGGGTTGGGCTCATATTTCCTTCTATGTTTAGTGTTTGTGGAATTCCCCATTCCCTCCCCAACATCTGATGATTGAAGAAGGGCTTAAAATGTCATCATCTGTCTGTCTATCTGTCTGTACTACTCAAGGCAGCATCTAGATCCTCGTGGTCCATGGATTCTAAGAATCTAAATATAGATGGACTTACTTAGAGAATAGTGAATTGTGGTTGCATTTTCCATCTCATCTTAGCCTGTTTTGTTGGACCTCATTGATATATGTTCTCTATAGCTTCACACTTCCCAGGCTTTGCTACTTATGTTTAACATTCAAAATGATTAGGACTTTGGAAATATTTGTGTTTTTGATGAAGCTATATATATTATTTAAATTGTAGTTTACCATCTGATATTTTAATTCTGTGATGTTTACTAAAAATGCATTGCTACAGTTAGTTGCTAAGGTAAATAAGTCACTATATATGTTAATGGATGATATGAATGCATATTGATACAATATGATAAGCTTCCTGCAGATCCATTCACTTACTATCAAATAGAATTGAATTTATTAAATTCTTTAGTATAAAGTTGTAATCTATATTGTATACTTTAAGTGGAAAAGCAAACCTTAGAATTGAAACTCCTTGTCTAATTAGTCGTCTGGGGTGGAATATATGCTGTTTGATGCCTCCATGTGATTCATGTGTACTGATGAATTTCTTTTTAAACTTGCAGCAAATAGTGGCAGCAATAAATGCAGGGATTATACCGTTAGGAAACACCTCCAATCAAATCAGTCACTGGGACTTGGGAAGTTCCTTCTTCTTTGCTGGCACTGTTATTACCACCATAGGTAGGAGACAACTTATTTTGTTTTTTAATTTTGGTACAGCTTGTGAGCTAAAATTCATTTGTTTGAATTTTTTATTTTTTACAGTTGATCAAAATGGTCTTTGTAAGGTAGAAAACTAGATTTTAGTGAATTAATTTTGGAAAGAAGGTTTAAAGGTTTGAATAAAGGAATGATGGAAATGAATTAGTTATTGTTTCAGAATCCTGAGTTAAATTTACAGGGCAGTGCAGTTGTCGTTCAACTAATGGGTAGGAACTTCATGCAATGGCTTGAAATTATGATGTGCGTGTATGTGTGTGTGTGTGTGTGTGTGTGTGTGTGTGGTGGGGGAGGGCAAATAGTTTTAAATTTTCCTGCATCTTTGATTCTTTGGTTTTAGAAACAAAGGATTGGAGTAAAATTTTTACTTTTTAAAATGATTTGATATCAGCGTTTTTAATTTATAGATTTTAACTCTACATTTTAACAGGTTATTCCTGTTCTTACATGCATGTCCCTTTTAACTACTTCAGGGCTTTTTTTTTATACATTGTGTTTTCAATAGTATATATAAATATATATATATATATAAGCCTAAGTGACTGGCTGACCGGCCAGTAGCTATGACACGCAATGACCACCCGGAGGCAGACACTCAATGCACAGGCATGGAAACATGGGACATACTGATGCATCTCAGAGGAAAGGGGAGAGAGGGGGAGGGCAGAACGAGATTAACCAAAGATCTTATATGCATACTAGAGGCCCAGTGCATGGATTCGTGCACCAATGGGGTCCCTTGGCCTGGCCTGCGGGGATCAGGCCAGAACCAGCTCTCTGACATCCCCTGAGGGGTCCTGGGTTGCAAGAGGGTACAGGCCAGGCCGAGGGACCCCACTGGTGCATGAATCCATGCACTAGGCCTCTAGTATCCTATATAATAAAAGCCTAATATGCAAATCGACCAAACAGCAGAACGACTGGTTGCTATGATGCACACTGACCACCAGAGGGCAGAGGCTCAATGCAGGAGCTTCCCTCAGTCCACAGGCCCCAGGCCAGCCAAGGCGGGTGCCAGTGTGGGCCCCCCAATCGCCCCACCAGTCACCCCACAGAGAGAGGCGACTGGCGGCAGTGGGGGGCGGGACCAGCGAGTGGGCGGCGCCAGACCAGCAAAGGTGGGTGCCAGTGGGGGGTCCCCCCAATCATGCTGGTTGCCCCACAGATTGGCCCTGATTGCCGGCCAGGCTTAGGGACCCTACCCATGCACAAATTTCGTGCACTGGGCCTCTAGTATCTATAATAATAAAAACATAATATGCTAATTAGACCAGACAGCCAAACGACCTTCTGGACATCATTCCGGACATCCTTCCAGATGAAGCCGTCGTGGCAGGGGCCGAGGCAGAGGCAGTTAGGGGCGATCAGGCAGGCAAGCAAGAAGTTAGGGGCAATCAGGCAGGCAGGCAGAGTGGTTAGGGGCGATCAGGTAGGCAGGCAGGTGAGCGGTTAGGAGCCAGTACCGGATTGTGAGAGGGATGTCTGACTGCTGATTTAGGCTAATCCCTGTGAGATCCCTATGGGATCAGGCCTAAACCAGCAGTCAGAATTCCCCCGAGGGGTCCCAGGTTGCGAGAGGGTGCAGGCCAGGTTGAGGGACCTCCTCCCCTGCATGAATTTCATGCACCGGGCTTCTAGTATATATATAATTAACACTGAACTGTGAGGATTACAAAAAAGAATTAAAGTTTAAACCCTTGCTGTTTTGCCTCTTAATCATGTCACCTGTTACAATGATAAAAGGGTCACATAGTGGAATGTGATCTCTTCCTCAGCTTGAGCATGTATACACCCAGCACCTTCTAGGCAGCAGAATGGGTACGTGTAGATGACTTCTCTTCTGTTAGTCATTCAGTGCCCAAGAATACCCAGAGGACATAAATGCCAGGCTTGGGGACCAGGAGGAGTTGTAGCTGTCTGGTTTAATGGAAAGAGGTCTTTTTAAAGCATAATATTCAAGATAAGGAAGGAAACTGACCCATCACAGTTATGAAGGAATTTTAAGTGAAAGAAAATATATGTGCAAAACCGAGTTCTGCCCGTCCACTTATGCTTGTGATGAGGATGCCTCTCCTGGGCTTGATCTCTGATTTTTGGGGTGTGAAGTAAGTTTCTAAAAATTTTCATTTTATTTCTTGGTGTCATTGACAAATGACAAATCAAGTATATAAGGTTTCGAATCAGTACTTTATATCAAAGCCCTAAAGAAGAAAGCATGGACAGTTTATGGACGAACTCTCGCTTAAAATTTCCCTTTGAGAGGAATCTGTAGTGACCTGTCATTATGAATCCACTGGAATGCCTCTTTGTGCTGGGTCCCTTGCCAGTGAAATAAATACCTTAGCATGTTGATTTTTGCCTTCATCAAGAGGTCAAGGAACTATGTTTACTCTTACTTTTCCATTAGCTAAGTCAAAAGTTGTGTGGCTGTGAAAATCTGGAAGAATGGCAACCTTGATTTCTAACCATAATAACAGGTTAACTTTGGCGCGTAGGCATCTTGGTCATTTCTACTATGGAAATGACTGTTTATTGTGTAAACTACTTAGAGTCTGGAAGGGGAAAAAACTCACAGACTGAGTGAGAATGGTTTGTTTCTGCCCAATGACAACTCAAAAGTCCAAGTTATAACTCATCATGACCACCACTAAATTATTCCACAGGAGACTCGGTCATTATACAGCCTTCCTGTTGCAGGGTATGTTTATAAACAGTCTCATTTTTTGAATCCCAAATTCAGTAAGTTTTGCAGACATATCCTTCAACACATGAAAAAAATAAGCCATTATTACCAGCCTTACCCCAAATGATAGCCATTAAGCACAGTAACTGATTATTTAGGTTGTTTAGGTAGCTGCCTGACAGCCCAGATCTCCTACTGTTCTATCTCAGGCTTCAGTCTTAGGTGAGTTAAGTCATTCTAGGTCATCCAGAAATATTTCATGGTCTTTTACTCCCAGGTCAAGGCCACCTCCTCTGACCTTGCACTAGATCAGGGGTGGGGAACATCTGGCCCGCAGGCCGTATATGGCCCACAGAATAATTTGGTCTGGCCCTGCCAAGCCGTTAGAGGTAAATTAATTAACTGACCAAATATAGTAGGCTAATTTTTAAACTGATAATTTTGTATGCCTGCGAATGATGTTATAAATGTCCAAATGGCCCTTGGCAGGAAAAAGGTTCCCCATCCCTGGACTAGATTATCATCTATGGTTCAGTGAACATTTTGGCCTCTTTCATAGGTGTGCTTTTGAAAATTTAAAATGTAATCACTCCTTCTCCCCCCCCCCCACCCCCTGGCTCACTCAACCTCTTTTTTTCAGTATGTGTAACTTGAAGCTAATTTGTACTACTGGATATCTGACTGGAGCCACATATATAGAATCTGTATTGTTCTTACTGAAACACAGCATAGAATTAACAAACTTAAATAAAACAATCCTAAATTAAAAATGAAAAAATGCAATTACTAATAATGTTAATGATAATTGTGTGAGCCTTGTGTGAACAATCATAGAAATTGTAACCTCTAGCACTAGTTGCATTGTATCAGTCATTTAAAAATAGAACTTGAGCTCTAGCCGGTTTTGCTCAGTGGATAGAACTTCAGCCTGTGGACTGAAGGGTCCAGGGCATATGCCTGGGTTGCGGGCTTGATCCCCAGTAGGGGGCTTGCAGGAGGCAGCCAATCAATGACTCTCATCACTGATGTTTCTATCTCTCTCTCTCCCTTTCTCTTCTGCTCTAAAGTAAAAAAAAAAAAAAAAATCTGTTTAAAAAAAAACAAAAATAGAACTTGGGACAGTTTTGGAGAATAAATTGCAGTGGATTTTATAAGGTGCCTGGTACAGGTAGTGCTTCAGGGAGCTGCATTGGCTGCAATTGTCCAAGACTTTTCTATTCAATATTATCAATTTGCCTTAGAGGCCAAAGTTACCCTTACTGTTCATTGGAAATATGCCCAAGGGGAGTTCAATTACACAAAATGGAATGTTAAAATTTAAGGACTAATTTTAGAGAATCTCTGCATATGTCTGTATACTCTTTCCAAAATCACGCCCTTCCAAACCCTTCACAAATTCCATTCCAAAGTTGTATAGACTAAAATCCATTTTTTACTGCTCTCTCTCTCTCTCTCTCTCTCTCTCTCTTTCTCTCTCTCTCTCTCTCTCCCCACTTTCCAACTACCAGCCAATTCTGTCAGCTCTGCCTTTAAAGGAGACCCACCATTTAACTACCATTTTGGTCCCAGCCGGCATCGTCTCAGTGTCAGGATCCTTGCAGAAAGGAACCTTCTGCTCAGAACCTTCCGTGGTTTCCAACTCAGTTGGAGCAAAAAACATCCTTCATTGCCTCTCTCATCACAGATATGCAAGTTCTGTGAGGTTAAGGGATTTGATGTGTTTGAATCTTTTCTGTATTCCCAATGTCTGACACATAGTGGGTGCCTGATAATTATTTCTGGAATAAAAAACTAGGCATTCTAAGTGGTATGAAGCGTGGCTTACTAGATATGACATAATGCTAAAGTGATACCAATTATACTAAATTCTTAGCTCTTTCAATAGCTTTCATTACTAAATTTTTGTTTGTTCATTTGTTGACTCAACAAATAAGAAAACAACATCACTCTGCTACTGCAACAATAAAAGATCAATTATTTGAGCTTAAGTTGCACAAGGACCAGTTGAGGGGCCAAAAGAGCCAATAATCATTTACGCTATAGTGTGTCAGGTATGTTTCAGAACTTTTCATGGAAGTGGGTAGGAGTGACACTTTACATAGATATTGGGGTAGATGAGGAAAGGGGCAAGGAACACTTTCCTTAATGAGTGTCCTAGTTGAGACTGGAAAGATAACTAGGAATTTTCCAGGTGAGTAAAGGTGGAAAGGAAACAGTTGAGGCGTTGGGAGTTCATGTAGGCTAGATCAGGGGTCAGAGACAGTATGTTCTGTTAGGG